ATAAAAAGTGAGGGCACCTGAATGGTTTAGATCGAGCTTTTTCCTCAGATTCCCAAGAGACTTAATTTGTCAGAAAGGTGTTTGCTGCTATATTGTTTTTTCACCACTGATAATAACAGGTGCTAAAAGGGGTATGTATAACATGTATCACAATTTCCACTGTCCTGACTGTTATTATTAGTACTGCAGGAAAACAGCTGCATGCCATAAGAGTTTTAATACACTGTACTCTCAACAAGCTGAAGTATCAAGAGAGGCAAATAAGCTCCTTATGTATTTGGTTTCGGGGGGGGGGGAAAAAAAAGTTTAAAATTTCTTTTACTTGATAAAAAGTTTCCTGGCCAAAACAGGATTTCTGTTCAAAAATCATACAATTAGCATATGACAGTTGGTTTTCCAGGTAGATTATTATTAGATAAGTGAGAGGTTCCATTATGACCCCAAGAATTTATTTAGCATGAGGCCTGCTGCAGCCTGAACTGTTTGCTGCAGTATTTTGTCTTTTTCATCTGCATCTTCCTTTTAACAAGATGCTAAACTAAAAAAAAAAGCCTCAAAAACCCCTAAAATGTAATTTTTCTGTTCACTTGCAGTGGCTGTAAGAGAGAGAATGAAAATTATCTAAACCTAAGTTTTCCTTTAACATTGATATTTACAAAATAATGGAACTAGTGTAATGTATCAAAAAAGCAGATGTGTACAGCCTTTACTTGGTATCTCCTGCACCATGTGAATCTGTTGCAACTACTGACCTCTGGAACTCTCAATCATACATACATGTTGCAAAAAACCTGCAAGACTCCTTTTCAGGGTGAGAGGTGTGAGAGAGTACAGATTATTTAACATTCTCTAGCACACATAAATTTAATGAGAAATTTAAGTAAAGATGAGACAATTCGATATTAACAGGAAACTCCTAAGTGCAGGATGCAACATACAGGAAGGAAGAAAAAGATTACTTGATAATTTAACATTATCAAAGGCCAGAGACGACATCTTAATATGTAATAAAATGGCTCAATCAGCTGCTAAGGACCATGAAAACTAAAGACAATTAATTTTTTTGGTATAATAAGGAAGAAATCAGCACAGGTATGTAAAAACCTAACACATCCTTCTTAGAGTGCTCATCATAAATAATCTTGTAATAAATCAATAGCATTCCAAAGGTATTGTAAAAATCAGTTTTGCAGCCGTGTCGAAATAAGAGGCAGCTGTTACCTGGTTGAATCATACTAACAATGTGCATGGAAAATAAAGCTATATTTATTACATGTTAGGTAGAAAAAAAAGTGTAAGGCTGGAAATGAAAACAGACAGATCACATTTGCAAATAAGCAGGAAGAATATTGTTATAGAGACTGAGAGAGGAAAACGCACAAGGTGGAGAAATAAAAAAGGAAAGGAAGCTAGTTTTCACTATCTTGCTTTTTAGTAAGCAACTCAATATCACGTATGTTGAACATACAGGTCAAAACAGTGCTTTGGCCAGATCTACGAACTGTTAACTGGGGGAAGATAAAAGCCTGAATTTCAGGGCTGAGTACCCTCTACAAGCAGTAGCACCAAGGCACATCAGAGTGCAGAAAAGAACTGAAAAGAAATCATGGGAGATTAGCCCTCCAGTTTGTTAAAACACTATGTAAATTGGGGTGCAAGGTCACTCTGAAATAATCTGGATGCTTATTTGATTCTAGATACTAGAATCAAAATCAACGTCCATAGGATTTTCCAGAGTATATTGATTTTTTTTCCCCTTTGGGCTAGTTCTTTTGATTTTAAAATCTGAAGAGCAAGACAGGAAATGTCTAAAGAATTACAAGAAAGCAACTAACTCCGAGTCAAGATCTAGATATAAATAAGATATGCTTGTCCTAATGTCTCTGAAAATGAAGAGAAGAAAGTAGGGGCAATGTTTCTTTCATGTCAAAAGGAGGTTATTGAACAAAAATCAGATATAGAAATGTGTTACAGTAGGAAGGCACTGATGCCAAGACAAGAATCTCCAGATAATGAAATATGATGTGTCCGTGCGTAAGGACAGTGACTGGTGAATCAGGGTAATACAGAGAAGAAAAGGGAAGTGCAGTGGAGAAGCTGTAAAATCACTACAGACAATAAGAATAGGGAGATATTACATGTGTGATAAGGTATACCAACACAAAAGGGCCAATTCAAACAGTGCCAACAAGTATTATTGGAAATAGCATAAAAAACATTGAAGAGAGATTCCATACTTGTAGAATATCCTCAGACACATGGAGCCAGTGATGGAGACACAACAGAAAGGTCTAGACAAACCTGACCAAGCTACTAAAAATTAGGTAACTTTTTTTTTCCTGGTCTGATATTTCTCATGACCTAGTATAACTGTATCTCACATTTGTCACTTAGCTGCCTTCTAATAAGAAAGATCTCTGCAAAAGATTTAATACTCATAATATGCATTTCATTTGCAATAAAACTGAAGTATTTCTGAAAAGTTTTACCAAAATTCAACTTAGGTGAATAGTCTTGACCATAATTTTTTTTCCCTAGAAGAATCATAGAAAGTGCATGCAAAAGGGGTTCAGCCATACAAGACAAGCTTGTAAAACAACTGGAATACTTTTGGAAACTATTTTGTAGTCTTGGTTCAAACCAGAGTATAATCGCTTGCCAAACTTATCACTTCGCTCCCTTCTACTTCTAGTAAGAAAAACCTTTGTAAAGAAACTGTCTTAGCAAGCAAAATACTGACAAAGGAATTAAAAATACAAATGAGTTATAATAATTGGAAAGAAATATTAGCATCTTCCTCCAACTCTACCCCAGTGATTGATGTCAACTTCTGATACAGACTCTGGAAAATATGTCAGAACTATCACCTATGGAATTCCTTTCTTAACCACTTCCATCTCATGGAGTTTCTCCATCTTCCTGCTATAAATCCCTACCCCAAGGCTGTGGAATCCCCTAGGTCACTTGACAATATTTTAATCTGTACCGTGATTCTATGATAAGTGACATTGTATAAACAGCAGACTATACAGAAGTCACCGAAGTTGTTACCGGTACTGATGTAGTTCACCTAGCCTCAGGGATCTGGTGAACAGCAGGTGTTATATAAAACATGCATAATTTTGGGGACACACTCACATTTAGCCATTAGAGCCACTGCAGCTATTCTAGTCATTATCAAAACCATGACCATGAAGCTGGCATCTTTAAAGAGCACAGGAGCTCTGAATAAACAATTTCTAAGGAAAAAAAATGAGGTATGCAACTATGTTGACATTTCACAAGTCCAGTACAAAACAAACAACCGTGAGGAAGGTCACAGTTGGCCCCTTCTCCAGGACAGGGTGATGGAGCTTTTCAAGGTAGAGAAAATTCACAACAGAGATTTGCACTGCACCAGACAGCTTACACAGAGCTGCAGTGCTCCCTTCCACTGGGGCTGGGGGGGAAATTCCCCTTTCTCCCCACCTGCTCCCCCACTTCATCATTTTAGAGAAGTCTATATGAATTGGTAACCAGTTGTGAGAGTTTCAAGGGTTCTTTGGCATTATTATTTTGGGCAAAAAGAGAAAAGAGGCAGCTGCATATAAAGTGGTGTCATACCCATACAAGCACTAGAGGATGTGACACAGGTGACACAGCTCTTACACTTACACGTGCGATATACTACAGTTGACTTAAGATACTCCATAAAGAAACTTTAATATCGATGTGTGTACTACACATAAATGAGGTAAGGGGATGTGTCTGATAAAGAACAATGGTTAAGGCTGATTAGTAATCAATCCTATTCCATACAGGACTGCCAAAACCACATCACTAGACCTGGCTGAAAGATCCCCCTCTGTATACCTAATGAGATCCAGTTAGATCTGAAACATCATCTCATCATTTCTTGGACAAATTTCCTCCCCAATAACACTGATGTAATGCACCTGCTGTAAAAGAACAAGGATTCTGGTCTTCTGGAATACTCCAGGAACAGATATTGGTGAACAAGCTTTCTAAAATGCAAAACAACTGAAGATGTGTAAGGGAGTACAGGAGCAGAAGAAGCATTTTAAGGTTAACTTTGCAATTTGACAGTATAGATTTTAATTCTTGCTGAAAGGCAACTGTGTTCAAACATAGATACGGCATGTTTAGGAACCATTACATGATAGAATCGTTATCTGTTCCTACCCACAAACTCCCATCTCTTCAGCATCATGTTTTACGAGGCTGTCAAAAAGTATGTTCAAATAAAACCTTATAAAGGTTAACTCAGGCAAGCTGAACATGATAGCAAACACGTAGTTGCTTATGCGTAAGTCTTCATATATTTTCCATAGTTACTGTATTTGCGTGCTGTGAAAACCAGAAGCTAATAGCTTTAAAGAGAATCAAACAGGAATAGTTATTCATTGAACAAGGCAAACCAGACACATAAACAGACAGATACAATTTTAAATTTAAAAGTTCCATACTGATTTTAAGAAATATCTGATCCATTATTATTGAATTAATTTCTTGCCAAATTCTGATTGAAAATCCTGGAAAAAATAGGGAGAAAACTGTGACTTATTACTATTTTAGCTTCAAAATTTCCCAGGACTTGCAAAACATGGTTTCCAAATCAACCATCCCTGTATCCCAGGATGTCACTACTGTCTGCCTTTTTAAGTGATGTTTGGAGTAACGCGTAACCTGGTAAACATTTAGCCAAACAGCACCAAAGAAAAAAAAAATTTGTTGTCATGTGAAGAGCACCTCAATTTCCCAACAGTACCATTAAATATGTAAGTAAATAAATCTGTCCATTGGGGGAAACAATGCAAATAAAAGAATCATAACTTCTGGCTTTGGACTACAGATTGGGAGTGAGGGGAAGGAAATCACATTTGGGGTTGGAAACTCAGCGATTACCCTTGGGAGGGTAGGGAGATGGGGGAGAAAAGGCCAAACACTAGGAGAGGGAAGGAAGAGAAGGAAAGAGAATAAGGAGCAGAAGGTACACTTACTGTTTGGTTATCTTCATACAGCTTCAAGTCATATCCACTCAGCTCCACACAGAAAATTATTGCTGTAACCCCCTCGAAACAGTGGATCCATTTTTTGCGTTCAGATCTCTGTCCACCCACATCCACCATTTTGAAAGTCAGCTCTTTGAAGGTGAACTTATTTTCTACAATCCCTGTGGTCATGTCCCGAGAACGCAGAATATCTTCCACTGTAGGGATGTAGTCCAGCGCCGCAATCCGTTCTAGGTCATTTAAGTAGTATGCAGCGTTATCCTCTAGGTGGTACTCGTTGGAGCGGCAAAAACACTCCTGCACGCCAGGGTCTGCCCAGAGCCGTTTCATGACTCCCAGCAGCTCAGGGGTAATCTCACCTTTGCTCTCAGCTGGGCCTGTCAGGGCAAAAAGCTGCACAGCATCATATGCTCTGTCAGGATTGTGAAATTCTATCTTAAGGGTGGCTAGAGCCCGAATGATACGTGTGAGGGAGTCAATTGCATTATAGATAATCAGAGGTTTGTATTCCTTGCAAGCCTCCAAGTTAAAGCCACCACTGTGAATGATTTTCATCTGCTTTACAATAGTACTCTTCCCAGAATTGCTGGTACCCAGGAGAAGGAGCTTAATCTCTCTTCGTTGTCGCTGACTTTCAGAGCGCAGGTGGCGGTCAATCCTACGGGACCGCCGCGCTGCCTCTTTCTCCTCAGAGCTTTGCCGACATCCCATGGTATAGCAGGCAGTTACAGAAGGGAAAGACTGGATACTGTCTCACTCTCTTTGCGTCTCTGAAAAAGATCTGTGGTGTCTTTCAGTTCTTGTGCCAGGTACGCCTTGGACAAAAAAAAAGTTGCTAGCCAGTACCTGATGGTCCAAGATGCCTGTACCACCTAATTCAGTCCCAGCAGGGGTGCAAACACATGTAGATATGCAACCACAGAAATAGTCTCTTCAGCAGATCTCATGGCACTCCCCTTTCCAGTGCATAAACAGTGGCACATTCCTGTTAATGAAGGGACACTTCCCTTTTCCACAGTTTGGCTAGATCCATCAAATACTCTTTTCTGTTCTGCATAATTATTTTTCCTGCCTTCTGTCCAAAGGTAAGGAGCTGCACTTTCGCCTTCTCTGCTCTAGCACTTGTCTTTTAATTGTGTTTTCTGGTTGCTGTGGTGATGCTGCTAGATAAAGCTGAAGCTCTTTTCAATGGTGCTGTATTTGTTTCTCTTCCCCCACTTCTTCAGCTGATCCAGTTCAGCTCTGTAAATCTGTGCTTTCCACCTGCCAAACAATGAGAAAAGAAATGAATGAAATGAGAGACTCCGCTTCCTTGCTGCAAACCACTCACTTTCTCCTCCTCTTCTAGACTTCTAAACCTTTTATTATCCCAAACAGAAAATACAGATGGAAAAACATGTGAAGAAAAGCAAAAATCTAAAAGCCTAGCAAAAACATAGGGACAGCTGAAACTTGCAGACCTAAGAAAATGTGGTTTCTGAACAACAGTAAATCAAATCTCTCTTTCAGCCTTCTGTGTTTTATTATCTAAACCTACATGAAAACAAACAGTGCTGAGCTGTGCCCCAATTTCTCCCTCAGCAAGAGCTATGGCAATGCTTTTCCTGCGCAGTCCTGTTCTGACTGGTTTTCCTAAGCAGAAAACGAAACAGACTCACAACTACTTTTCCCAGTCTATTTATATCAGTATCTTGTACTCAGACAGATGTCCTCCTGAGTTTTCTTTCATCTTTTCTGTTTGCACTGAACATTTAAATAAATTAGGAACCAAAAGGAGGTGATTAACTTTGCTCCATGATTTTGTAAAAGGGAGAGTTACTGATCTTTGCCAAATACAGTAACAGATCTTCTTTCCCCATGGAGAACAGTACTGTTAAATATACTACCTGCTTAATCAAGAAAGTGATGCACTACTACAACAAACTTTGGAAGCTTCTTGCTATAGCCAAGCAAAGTGTTGTTAAGCCTCTTCTCTTCCATTTTTAATACAGAAATTTCCGAGGTGCGGTAGAAGTTAACAGTGAATACAAGGTGAACGTTCCGTAAAAAAGCGTAGGAAACTCCATCCCAAGCAAGGGCCGACAGCTTGTCAGTGGCTGTTAGAGCAATTACATTTTCCCAAATAAGGGGTTAAGCCTACTAGCTGGAACTCTGCAGAAGGCAACAGCGGGAAGCAGGTACCTCTCACAGAGGGAAAACACATTACTAACAGCTGATTGGTGGTAACTCGCCTCTTTCCTATTGAGGGTTTGCTGCTCCCACTAAGCTCTGAGCACAGTGGGCAGCAAATCACAGATGTCACGGCTTCCTCATCGTATGCTGACCCCAGCCCAACTTTGGGAACTTTATCGCTGTTTACTTGTGTTTAGAGGGTGTTCAGTGAGTATTTTACCAACTAAGCAACATGCCAGTGAGATACCCTCACAGGCTTAAGACTATTTCAGAGCCTTCTGAAAAAATACAACTTTTACTACATTTTAATAAGACTCCCAAATTCCATTCCAAAGACTTTCTACAAGTCTTTGGAAGTTTTTCCTGCATGAACTTACTAGCATTTGAATGTAGATGTGTCAAAGCATTAAAATACATATCAAAGAGGATGATTCCACACTACTAGGAGAGGGACAGAATGATCCAAGCCAGGTGTTGAACCTCTAGCTTTTGTGAGAAAAACTCAACTACAACTACTTGCAACCTCATGTACTTTGCTTTCTCTCTTTCTTAAGCATCACAGCAGAAATTTTTGTGGGCAAAAGACATTTCAGCACTCCAAAAGTATCTATAATTAAGTATTTTAAATGGAACAATGAATTTACCAATACGCATTTTTCCTTTCCCCACAGCATCTACATCCCAGTATAAGATTCATTTGCATAGAGATACAGCAGGATGGCATGGGTCTCATTCCTACTTGGCCACACAGCTCTGGTTAAGAAACATTAAATTTATATTTAAATTACTTCTATTTTTAATGTATAATGTGTATTTATAAATGCACATACATTTAACAGTACATGTTTTGTAAGATACTGTTTTATCGTTGAGAATTTAAACTCATTTTGTCTTGCCAAGTCATTATCAGCCAGGGATTTCAGTGAGATCTTGCTTTACCCTCCCAGTAGCTGTCACCATAGCAGAAATTAATTACGTCAAATAATAGCTTTAGCTAACCTTTAAATAATGTTAATTGAGACATAGCACAGCATAAAAAACTTCAAGGCAGGAGCTTCACAGATACAGATAAGGACAATTACACCAGCTGCAGTACTGAAGAAGGGTTATATGGTTAAAATAAAGAAAAAAGTTCAGCTTTTTAAGGTTCTTAGCATCTCACATTTACATGAAAAAACATAATTCTTAGAACATTTATTTGGGAGAGTAGAAGGGAGCGGAAATAAATTATAATTCTAGGATTTCATTCCTCAGGTGGAAGAAACAACTGTAATGATCTCACTCATCTATTTAGTAAGATGTATTACCATTTTTCCATTATTTGCATATTAAATTTTTGTCACAGTGGGCCATCCTAATCTTAGTTTTTGTATTTTGTATAGCTTTCTCTCTGAGCATGTTTAACTTCACTTACAGAGCTCTTCTAATTTAAGATGGGCTGACAAGTGGCAAGGTAGAGTCTGTGTGGCTGCTTTCAGATCCAAGTCCCCACTGGTATCCATCTCTGGGGTCTACAGTCCTTTGGCAGCTTCTTGCCGTTAGGCAGGTTCTTATAACATTCTGGATCCCTTTTCAGCACTTTCCAATGCAATTGGAAATTGTGGCAATCATTGTTCATCATTGTTAATCCCTTAACATCAGAAAAAAAGGTATAGAGACTGGAGAGGGTCAGTGGATGACAGTTTTATGTGTTCGTTCCTGAAGTTTCCTGGGACGTTAGCCTGGGACAGTTGAGCTTGCAATCACTCATGCTTAAATACTTGTACTGATTCTATATTTATCTTTAAATCCCTTCCTAACTCTAACCCATCTTAAGAGGGATACATAGCTGAACCACTGTAGACCTGGATAAAATTCACTGCTACCAGGATGAGTCAGTATAGGTCAGGATTGGTACTGATGCATTGAGGAGACCATTATATTTTAGTTGGAAAAGATGAATCGATGATTGTTGCAAACAATTGCAAGATTCCGTAAGTGGAACTCTGACCACAAAAGAAGTGAACACTCAAAAAAAATCAGTAAATTAAGTATGCTGTTTTAAATGTGCTTCAGTATCTCACTCATTCCCACTTTCCCTAGTTTCCCAGAACACTACTAACATACCCATTCTGCTCTTCTTTCCTGCTCCCATTTAAATCTGCCTTCTCACTACATTCTTTTAATCTCCATGCTTTAACACCTGCCTGTAAACCCATCCCAAATCCACATGCGTGAAATTAATTAACTAGAACTGGGCTTTTATGGTAACCAATTCCAAAAGCTAACCAAGATAATCTCAGTTGTTCTAAACATGGTATCTAGTCAATACATCAAGTCACCTCTACGTGACAATTCAGAGTGCTGTCTGTCATCTTTGCCTGTATGGACCGCAGTGTATGAGCAGGCTTGTAATTTAAGCATTTTGGGTACCTTAAATCTAAAGATATCTGAATCCTTTCTCCCAAATGCAGTGTGCATTTCTATTACCTGGTCTAAAACCTTACAAAAGAGTCTTAATATGCACTGTATTTATCTTACTTCCCTTTGCACATCAGGAGGACATTGGCACATGAAGAACAGATTAATCAGCAGAAAACTAAAATGCATACACATTAATAGAATGGTAATTAACACAATTTTACTTACTCTAATGCATCAAAGATATGGAAAAGAAAAACCCTCCAAAATGAGGTGTTATATTTTCTTCAAATAATTGGCCTTTTCCAATGGTCACAGAAGATGAAAAGTAAGAGTTGAGGAAGCAGTTTCTTAATGAGTAACTTTCCAGCCATGCAGAGAGAATGAAATTACTCTATTAGATATCAGGCCAAGTTCTTATTTGAATTACATGAAAATTAGAGTTGGCCCCGTTAATCGTGCTTACTCTGACATGCTCACAACATCTAAAAGTGGGTTTCCTTTAAGTCCTCATCATTGGAGGCTTCATTTTCATATCACTGATAAGACCACTGGTCAAAATCTTTGTGACATTTTCCACACCACAAGGTTAAAGATGAAAAATTTTGCAAGAAGCTCATATGGGTCTCCGTCTCCTCTCATTATTCAAGTTTCATCCTGACAGAGAGGCTTGCTGGAGACAAGAAGCAGGAGGATACATACTCCTTCCAAAATGCACCAGTGATAAATGTGGGGATTTTATGTCCATATCAGATAAACAGACCTTTTTTAAGCTTTATGCTATTGGCTTCAACAATTGCTTATGACAGTTTGGTAGAAAATCACTTTCAAGAATATTTTTTTCTTTTCACACAACTTGTACCTTCTGCAGAGTATTTCCTGTTGCGTATTTCCACCACTCATTCAGATGCATCGTTCATAACCCACAGTGTTTTACATATCAACTATTCTGCCTGCCATTCCTTAATATGTTTAACACAGGAAAGGATAGAGTAGCACCTCTGTATTGTAGGGAAGACCAGGAGTATGTAAGCACTGTGTAAATGAGTCTTTGAATTTCCATTTTTTGGCTTCTGGTCATTCCTACTGCTTATATTGCAATGTTATTTGGATCTCACTATTTCAAGTAGGAAAACAATGAGGTGATTGTATTATGGCTTTGTAAAGCAGAGTAGTAGATACTATTTCCATACAGTACGCTACACTAAGCAATCTTGATTTATTTAAATAAGTTTTCCGACGTGCACTGAAAAGCATCTTCCGTGTTCACAGTCGCTGTTTGTTAAAATTCAGGAAAAGAATGACTTGACAAACTATTATGTTACTACATTTTACTGTCCTGGCTGTAAAAAGATGAACTTCCTCTCATTGATTTTACTTTTGGAACACATTAAAAAAATAAGGCAGTCTACAATTTGTTCTTGGTTTTTTAGATCAAATTTCATAGTAAAAATGCAAGCCTTTCTTGG